CGATAGATGGGAGTTACAACCCAACAGAATGTTGAGGGCAAATATTGCCAGTACCTGGACTTTTACAACTAGTGATTGTATTGAACTCTATTTTAAATTCAGAAATGAAGATGAAAGAACTTTGGAGTAAATAAAAGTGCATCCATTTGTATTCGGCTGGATTCAGAACGCAGAGCTGCAGAGACAGACTGATTTCCTGGACCCTTTAGAGTTGAGCAGTGGGTAAGGCGCTGAGCTTGTTGACCAAAAAGGTTGGCAGTTCAGCGGTTCGAATCCCTAGTGCTGCATAATGGAGTGAGCTTCTGTTACTTGTCCTAGCTTTTGCCAACCTAGCAGTTCGAAAGCATGTAAAAATGCGAGTAGAAAAATAGGGACCACTTTGGTGGGAAGGTAACAGCGTTCTGTGCATGCTGGCTGCATGACCACGGAGACGTCTTCGGACAGCACTGGCTCTTCGGCTTTGAAATGGAGATGAGCACCTCCCCCTAGAGTTGGGAGTGACTAGCACATATGTTTGAGGGGAACTTTTATCTTTACTTTAGAGTTGAGCAGAAGATAGAAAGTAGGGCTTATCATTCATCAATAGTAAAGGGAAAAGGGTAGGATGATGGCAGCAGGACAGCAAGGAGTTTCAGAAGTCAGTAAGGGAGTAACACAATGCTTCTGTTCTGTTTGGCCACCATAACTCCTGTGGTTTACCTACATAATTTCTAAAATTCTTTCTGTTTTGGAGCCTATTGTTATTATATTCATGGAATTTGGGTGGATCTTCCATAATAATAAACCTTGTATAATGGCAATGGTAAATGATCCCATCTCCCCACAACCAGTGATCAAGGAATCTACTTACAACCATGAGAATCATTCTTTGCCTTGCTCTTTCTTCTGCTATTGGAGGTGATGAAAGCAGCCCAATAGCATTTAAACCTTATTGTCCCAAAACATTAAGAATGTTCTGGGTAAAAAGTTTGCAGACTATCTATGAGCAGGAAATGAGTAGAAGTTATGAATTTGGAGTGTTGATCTTTTCATCCACAATAAAGCTCTGCAGAGTTCAAACATTAAATGCTGGACAAAATCCACAAAGAGCTCACCAGAGTTGATAGAGCAGAGGTCACTGAAGGCTGGAAGCAGAAAAGGAAGAAATTGTGTTTTCCAATGTCAACCTTAAATGCCAAACAATGACATTTATGGAGCAGCAGACTGAGTCCATAGGTTGTCTGAGTTTACAAACTCTGGCCCAAATTCCTGCTATGGTGTTGTTGCTTAGTACATTACCTATCTTCCAGGATGATCCCTTCACCTGCAATCCTTTCTCTTAATTCCAGAATATGAAGGCGAAAAGGATCTCATACCTTATACTAATACTGGCAAAAAGCAGAGGGGGGAAAATGAAATAAAGAACATAATGCCCTATAGTGTATAATGTGTGAGTAGACAAATCAGCACATGATACCTTAGAGATAGACCAATCTCACCAATTAAAATTATTTTATGCAAAAAGAGTTCTGCTGCTTTAAGTAATCAGGTGAAGAAACAAAGTTGGAGACAATAAACACGGAATGCTGCTGAAATCACACACATTTTAAAAGAAATCTCCATTGGATGCGATGAAGGAGAATGAAAGTTTGTGTCAGGTCTACCATCTTCAGCTACTTTGCTTTGCTGGCACCCTGGCATAACGTTGGTGGTGGGATTCAGCCAGTTCGTACCAGTTCAGGAGAACCGGTTGTTAACCTTCTGAGCCGTTTGGTGAACTGGTTGTTGGAAGAAATCATTAGGGCAGAGAACCAGCTGTTAAATTATTTGAAATCCCACCACTGCAAAAAGTGCAAGGGGCATGGGAGGCAATTGGGAGGTAAAGGTTGAGCCTGGGAATGGGAATGAAAAGGGGAGAGATGACAAGCTGACAGAAACCAGTAGTGTCGATCCAGAATAAACAAGCCATCAAGGACACATAGCTCGAGAACAGAATGCGAAATTACATCGAGAGGCACCAAACCCCCAAAACATCAAACATGAGTACCGTTGGCTCCTGATAGACTAGTCAAGGGGAAGGCCAGGGAAAGGGAATTATAACCTTTGCATGGGAATATTCAGATCCAGATTTACTTTTGCTGTAGTCGCTTGATTTTAGTAAATGAACTTTCAGGTCAAAGAAATGAAGTCAAGGGTCATTTCTTTCCTAATGTCTGTGTTGGGCAGACCTGACAATTTCAGGCCATTCACCGAATAGGAGGATCCTGCTGGTAATGGAGATATCAAAAGCTATTAATATAAAATGATTGTTATATAAGGCAACCATCAGAAAATACAGTCACTTCACAGTTTATTTGTAAAAGACATATGTAAAAAGAGAAATAGCTACCTAAAATTGTCCCCACCATGCACAGGCATGTGTGAAAAGTACTGTATATTGAACCACAATAATGAATGGTTAACATGAAATCAAAAGAGATACAAAGGATGGATAAATGTATGGTACACTATTTAAAAATCCAATAACATACTCTTAAAAGCTCATTTTTCCTTTACTCTTAAAGTTGAGATGCTTCCCAGGTGAAATATTGCAGCATTATCATAGATAATTGGAGAAAAAACTATCCTGTGTAAATAGGAAATACAAAACTACCTGATTTTTAATGCCTATTTTATTTTCACATCATACTGTAACCGTACATACAACATAGGATATTTGTGGCAGAAAACTCAGGAAGATTTTTCCTGTGAGTAATGTTGGTGTAATTATCTGTGAAAATGTTCTTGAGAAATGGGGAAGAGCAGGAGGAGCTGAAGACCAGGTCTGAGCTATGGTGGCACAGTGGTTAGAATGCAGTATTGCAGGCTAACTCTGTTCACATTGCCAGGAGTTTGATTCCTTCGATCCTGACTGGGTCAAGTTGACTCAGCCTTCCATTTTTCCAAGGTTGGTAAAATGAGGACCCAGATTGTTGGAGGTGATATGCTGACTCTGTAAACTGCTTAGAGAGTGCTGTAAAGCACTATGGAACAGTATATAAGTCTAAGTGCTATTGCTATTGCTAATGGTCAGATAAACAGCAGTTGAGCTCAAAGAAGCAATGGGAGAGGCATGGCAAACATCCCTTCCCAGTCTTCCTATGTTTCTTGATCTGTAAAGATGAGAGAGAGAGATGTACTTTCAGACTTGCAAGATTTTGTTACTGTAACCTTATAGTAAAAGTAGTGTTGGTACTCATGATTGATACTTCTTGTCTCAGCTATCTCACAGGGCTAAATATTTGGTTTACAAAACCATGGCTGGGATTTAGGAATTGTAATAACCCTCACATTACTCTTATATTACTACCATGGAATAATATTCATTTAATGTATAATAATCCCCCGTTGCCTTTAAATGGTGCATCCATGTCAGGCAGCTGATTTCTAATGTAATAAAAAAGTTGCTGATCATAATGGAGCATCCAGAAAATAGGAAATGGATCAGATGCTAGAAACAGATATTATTCTACTACTTGTCCAGTAAGAAGAAGATTGCTCTGACCCATCCCGACTTAACCTAAGACTTACAGCTTTATGTTCACCCAAATTAAATACAACCTATATGATCACTTTCTAATTATATGTTTAATACTTTCTGTCACAAAAAAGCTATAATTTGCTCATAACTTTTGGAGATCCCCAGAGTTTGTTGATTTGCATGTACCTTAGAGACCTTAGAAGACTAAGTTAGATGGCCAATTGTCTCATTGCCCATCATTATCCAGCACTAATATAAATTGCAATTTCCTGTAGCCCAATGCAGTTCACCACTCTGAAACCTTCTTTAAGAAGTAATTATCTACCTGATGCTGGCCTCCAATAATAAAGATCCTAGTCACATTACTTGATTATTTGCTTGTGCTTTATTGTGTTTGATGTAGTTTGGAACTCTTAAAAGGAGTCTCTGGTCTTTGAATTCCATTTGACATTTTCTCCACCTCATTTGATATGGGCCTAGCTCTGAAGTGAGATAGATATGGAAGATTGCCAGGAGTACTGTTAAGATTACAAAGCATTTATTGAGATTTAAAATACAGTTCCTTTTTTTGTCTGCCTAAGTTGTTAACACTAAACATTAAAATTCAGTGAAATCTCAATTTATTTGATCACTTGAGATGAGAAGTTTTCCATTAGAGCCATGGTAGCACAGTGCTTAGAATGCAGTACTGCAGGCTACTTCTGCTGACTGCCGGCTGCCAGCTGTTTAGCAGTTCAAATTTCACCAGGCTCGAGGTTGACTCAGCCTTCCATCCTTCCAAGATCGGTAAAATGAGGACCCAGATTGTTGGGGGAAATATGCTGGCTCTGTAAACAACTTAGAGAGGGCTATTGCTATTATTCCCAATTATCCACGAAGTTGGAGAGAATATCATCCATGGCACTTATGCAAATTATACAAAATATGATAAATACTGGGCACAATGGCTCAGTGGTTAGAGACACTGAACTTGTCAGCTGGAAAGCTAACAGCTCTGGTTCAAGTCTTGAGCACCGCACAATGGGGTGAGCTCCGATTCCTTGCACCAGTTCCTACCCATCTAACAGTTCAAAAGTATGAAAATGCGAGTAGATTAATAGGTACCATTTAGGTGGGGAGGTAACAGCATTCCGTGCACCTTTGGTTGCACTGGCTGTCTCGGCCAAGAAACAGAGGTGAGCACTTCACCCTAGAGTTGGACATGACTAGACAGAGAAATCTTTACCTTTACCTTAGTATAAATACATCAGAATCTTTTGTCTGTTGAGTCCAAAATCCATCTCATTGATATCTGCTGAATCAAGGTTTTGCTACCGCAAGGAAACTGTTAATTATACAATCTGAGAAAATGTTACCAATAAATGTTCAGTGCTTCTGTAACCTAGAATTCATTTAACTGTCAAAATAAAAATCCAAAACAGCCTGACACAGTTCACTTGGAACAAAGATTTTGATTTCTGAATGAGAGGAAAAACTTGAATTCTGCCTCTCTTCCTATTAGGTTAACCATATCTGCGGAATGCCCCATGCAACTTGAAGACTTTCCCATGGATGCCCATGCTTGTCCGTTAAAATTTGGAAGCTGTAAGTGCTTTATTCTCTTTAATACAATTTCTAAATAATGTTTTTATGGAACTGCTGTGTTTAGTAAGGGCAGCATAACTCAGTCAAGAATTTGACACTACTCTGTGTTTTCCAAGCTTATTCCTAGCAACATGCTTGAGGAATTTCTGTACTTATAAGGTGGCTCATACATATTTCCTGGACTGGGATGTAACTTGTTGTTGTCTGTAGCTTATCACATATTGTATAATATTGTTGTGTGCTGCTTAGTTGACAATCTTTGAATTTAGAAATGTGTATATTGAAAGAACATACTAGCACTTGATAAAGTATCAGTGAATATTCCAGATGCTAGGATGACAATTTGTACAGTGATCAGAATAATGCAAGAAATGTTTTTTCCTGTGACACTTTGTGGAAGCAAAAGTTGACCTTTGAAAAAGCAGGATAAAGAGAATTATTGAGGATTTTGAATTCTAGTGTTGGAGAAGATTCCTCAGAATCTTCAGGATAAGATCATACAGGATAAGATTTAGCTTTTTATACAAGTCTATCACACTAGGAAACATAAAAGGAAAGAGAAGAAGAAGATGGAAGCAACAAGGTTAATGGAATGAAATACAGCAGTGATAGGTGGGTATTGGAAGGCCTGTAAGATAAGGCTGGGAAAGTCTGCTTACATAATTGCTAAGACTCAACATGACTTGATGCTAGATACGTAATATACCAAGTAATGATATTGGTGAAAGTATATCTCCAAATATATTTTTGAACAAAAAGATTAATTGTATCTCTTCAAATATGCATTTCAATGCAGATTAAATTTGAATTATTTTTAAATGCAGTTTTCTTTAACAGCAGATGGTTTTGTATTAGAACTTAGATAGAACATAAAAACAAAAGACAATTTAGTCCTGAAATCTTGGTAGTTGATTTCTGATCATCTTAGTGACAAATAGACATCCCTTTTCTGCATTGAGCTGACTTTGTAGCCAGCAGCCAGAAGGGTGAACAGCTCTTACCAGAAATGAATGGACTTGTCCATAGTTTTGCTGTGAGTCACAAGTAAGGATACTTGAAGGTTACAGGCGGTACTATTTGGAATATTTCAAATAGGGCAAATAAAAAGAGGCTAATAACCTATGCATTGTCAAGCTTTCTTATGAACCTTGTCAATGGAGGAAAGTGTATTTTGAAACTTTTCAGTGTACATGAAAGAAAAACTGCACGACACACTTATTCATCAGAATTTGAAAGCTGAAGTCCTGGGGTTTAGGGTTTTTACAATCCCATTCATTCTCAAGAAACATTAGCACAAATGTTTGTGTTATGGTGTTGTCGAATGTTCTGTGTACCACATAGTAAAGACATATTAGATTTTTTTGGGCTCAGTGTGCTTTTTGCCTTCCCTCAGGTAATACAGGGCAGGATTTATTGTTCTTTGTACAGATGCAGATATATTACATTTTGGCATGCCATAATCAGAGGTTCAGTATAAGAGATATATCATTGGTTCTCACTTGTATAGCAGTCATTCTGATACTGATGAATATATGCAAATAAGCCAACACAGGTAAAACATGCCACTCTGGACACAGAGAAAATGTATCATTCTTGAAAAATATATAGCAGCAACTACATGCGGTGACATTTTTCTTGCCATGACAAAACAGCCACAGTTATCCATCATATAACAATTTCCCAGCAATTTGCTTCATAAATAAACAGGATCATGAGGAGGGAGAAAAGTTTGAATACAAAGCCTTTAATTAAAGTACTCACTAGACCAGGGGTGTCAAACTCACATATCACGGCAGTGTCTTATGATGTATCGCTACTGTTTTCCCCTTCACTAAGCTCAGCATGGACAGCGTGTGGCGCATGCGTCCTGTGGGCCGCGAGTTTGACAGTGCTGCACTAGACTGCTTCCTTTTACCAGTAGTTATGTAATCAAAAGAGAAATTTGTAGGTGCTGTGTAATACAGAAAGCAAGTTCATGCTAGCAGTTTTATATCCTCAGTATAAACATCTTACCAGACTTTTTAAAAAAAACCTGGCCATGCTAATTTTATACAAACCATTCCCAGCCTTAGGTTTACTGTCATAACAAGTGGTATCAGTGGAGGTAATACATGCTTATGCATATATAAAACTTATGGCTCAATTAGAAGAAAAAGGAAAATATGGGGCTTCGACAGAGAGGAGAGGAAGGCGCAAGAGAATCAGAGGGGGCAGGATAATAACTGTTCCCTTTTCCATTTTTAATTCCTGCTGCAACCATATTCTACTTCCTGACCTTTGCCAATTAAAGCCTAAGCAGGAGTGAAATTCAGCAGATTCTGATAGGTTCTGGAGAACTGGTAGTGGAAATTTTGAGTGTCATCTCTGGCTGGCCCCAGAGTGGGCTGGGAATGGAGACTTTGCAGTATCCTTCCCCTGCCATGCCCACCAAGCCATGCCCACAGAAAAGGTGGTTAAAAAAAATTGAATTTCATCACTGTGCCTAAGAATTCTCCAGCTGTAGTCAAGAAAAAGGAAATGGCTGCAGCAGGGAAGTAAATGAAAAGAAATGAAAGTAAATGAAAAGAAACGAGTAGTGGTCTTAGTTATTTTTCTTTCTTTCTTTTTTGTCTCCTGCCCACCAGAACCACAGTATTCTCCTCCTTTCATCTGGCCTGTTAATTAATGGTTATGGAGCTAGCTGGTTGGTTGGCTGGACTTATAGGGGGGAGAGTGAACAGATGAGGATCAGCAGGCTCTGAAAGAATTTAGAGATTAAAAAAACTGCTGTGAAAAAGCAGACTCTAATTGTGTTCTTTTTACAAAAATACTCTTCTCAAAACCAACGATTCATCTTAATGCTTCTGAGATCCTCTTTTTAAATGTAAATGATCTAAAACTAATTTATTTTCTGATTAATTTATACATAATTAAATGCAAGTAAGTAAGGGGGAAATATTACATAGAGTTGCAAATAGGTTTGGGGAGAATCCTATCATTAAAGTTCTCTTTGGAGGTTGAGAATCTAGTGCTATATGTTTTTTTTTAATTCACGTATTTTCATTTTCTTTCATTGAAAATAGATTGCTTTCTAACCCATATTTTCCCAAAGTTTGGATAAAGTTCTCATATCTGAATGCTTACAGATACTTTAGTTTTGAACTGACCAGAGTATGTGAAGGGGTGGGAGGCTGTATCATCTCTTCACATCAGTGATTTGACTAGGGGTGTCAAACTGGCGGCCTGCGGGTGAGATGCATCACAAGCAGCCCCCCCCCTCACCCCCGCTCCATGAAGGGGGAAAACTCTGTGATACATCACATGACAGCAGTGTGACTCTGTGGCTGTTAGGCAAATGGCAAGTAATGGATGAGGGAAACCCAGTCCCTTCATCTACTTTATTGTGAGTAAAATAAATCCTTGTGTTTAAGACACAAAGATGTCTTCTCTTTGTATCTTCCTTGTGCTTCCCTCAGTTCAAGATGTAGTTTAGATAGAAGTAGGTCACATGTATTTGAATCTTTTTATTTCAAATATAATGAATGTCTTTTAGCAGCATTCATTGATACTAAGCCCATATCAATCATACTCTTTCCAAAATAAATGAACTAGAAATATTTTTTTCCTTGAAGTTCTGAAAGTATTTGATATGGCTTTAGTGTTCTGGACATGATAAGGACCCACATCATCTAAAAAGGGCTCCCACTAAATTAAGATCTCCAGTAGGAAGGGCCTTGCTTTTTGTTGTACAATCATTTTATCCAAGTCATTGTACCTTTAAGGTTACTTGATACCCAAAGAAACTCATGAGTAAATTTCCCTTAGAATACTTTGCCAGAGATAGCCCTCGTAGCTGCAGAATGTGACCAAACTAGTGCAAGAAAGCAGCACCAATAATATCACTCTTCATCTGATAACAGTACTGCACCTCCATGAATTTAAAAGAAAATAATTTTGCTAGACTTAAAACTCAGGAAAATATATTCTCCTCTGATCAGTGTTTTATCTTCCTTCCTGCCCCAAAGTTATTCTGTGGTATTGAATAAGAATTTCCATCTGCTGAATAAAAGCAGGGGGTTGTGAGAGAATATATTTAAAGCAAAAAAAGGTTAATTGACTTTCTTTCAAGGGCATTCAAGCAAAGCTATGTGAGAAGGAAAATTTTACCCCACTTTCTTTGTCTGAAAAAATAGATATCTAGATAAACGAGACCCCTTGCTCAGGCAATTGGTGCTCTAAATTACATTCTATATAGAGTGTTAAGTATGTTGCATTGAAGATGACTTCGTTAATGCTTGCCATTGTTTTGACAGTGATTGCTGTGATTGTAATCTTGCTGTGATTGAAACTTTTACATTCTTCTCATTCTTGATTTGAGATGTTTATAAATTTTCTAAACAAGGTATTTGTGTCTGTATATGTGTGTGAAAATGTTGTAATGTTGACTTTCCGGAATATATAACCTGGATTTATTTTGTGGCCATCCTCACCCCCAAGAACAGCTATACAGCTTCTGTCAGCTATAAGAAATAAGTATAATGTTTTATTATTAGAGGCCATTATCCTCTGTTTATGCAGTTTGTATGCCAATTGACGGATGGCATTTTAGTTAACAATTTCCATCCTTCCCATTGAATGTCTAAAAAAGATGATTATTTTGATTAGATCTTTTTAAATCTATACTTGAAGTGAGTTTTCATAAATACTACTAGATAATAGCTACTCTAAATAGTCTAAGATGGTCAATCTCTTGCAGTTGTTCTGATATCATAACTATAGCCAGACACCTCAAAATAGATTATATGCAGTATGCAAGTATGTATACTACTTAATCTTAACTGATCCATTATTTGTGTGCTAAAATTTATCCGTACAGCTTAGAGAAGTGCATTGACATAGCTTTGGTTAAAGTTGGAAGTCACAATGTGCTTTAACGTTGTTGTTTTGTTTTTGTTTTTTTAAACCCACACTCATGCTTAACCATTTTTGGGTTGGTAGCAATGAATTTTTGAAATGGAGAT